TCAGGCTGGACTTTGCAGGCATGACCATTGGAAATCTTCAGGCCTTGCTTCTTTTTCATATTTGCAACTTAACTGTTAATTCAGTTACTTAAAGATCAGCATAAAGAAGCCGGCTACTTTAAGCAGGGCTGTCTGTCTAACCAGCAGATTCTGTGCAGTGACTGATGGGATGAGACGGGAGTGCACCCACTGGCAGAGGGGCCAAGGCTGTGCCACCCACAAGAACCTGCTGGGCTGAGTGGGACCTGAGAAACCAGCATGTGGGTACTCTTGGTGGGTGTCCATCCACCTGTGAGGGTAATGGTGATTAGAGCTGAGGTGAGGAGTTGGTTCCTAATTTTCAATGTAATTTCTGTTCTGTTCTGGTCTGTCATGTCTCAAAACCATTTCCTAGAAAGTCCTCTGGCCCTGGTGCCTAGTCCCTGGGTCAGGGGCCACCTCAGTGAGTCCAGATTGAACTGAGAGGCGTCTCCTGGCACCAGGGCTTGCACATGTGGAGCTCTGTTGCAGGTGTGCTGTGGTGGGACTGTCCCTCCCCATCTCTCCTGTTCCTTGCCTGCCTTTGAAGAGAGAAAAGGCTCTAAAATGCTGACGTGAGGGAGTGACCCTTCTGACCCATCAACTGGGGCATTAGCTTTGTCTCTGCGCTGTCCCTCCTCCATTCCCCCGCATCGTGAAGAATCGCCCTCGCAAGCTGATGCCTCAGTCTCCGCAGATGCAAATGCCAAGTGAAGGGAATCAGAGGGCAGCGGGCACAGCGCTTCCCAGCCTGGCTCTTCCGCAGCATCTCTCCTCCGTGCCAGCAGTGAAGCGCTGGCATCCCCTCTCTTCCTATATTTCTGTGCCAAGAAAACACAGCCCACCACCTGAACAGCAGAGGAGAAGAATACGCAGGGCTCAGGCACTCCAGATTGCCAGCAAGACAGCTTGCGCCACACAGGGGGCCTGGAGGGGGACTTGGAGATCATCTGGGGATTTCAGGAAAGAACATTCTCTCGGCACTGCTGTGGCCTCAGATAGGCACAGCCATCGTGGTATGAGTGGCCAGGAGCCCCACGCCAGCATGTCCCTCATACCCCACAGGGCTGTTGCCCAAGAAAACTGGACTCTCTCATTCCAAAAACTAACAGAGATGAGGAAGAAATCTGGCCCAGCTCATCGTATCCACCCATCAAGGCCGAGAAAAGTGAATAGGGTTGCTTTTAGTCATAGCTGATTCCTGTGCAGGAGCCCAGGTTTGGCCCCAGTAGGCTCACACTGGATCAGCCTGGCTCGCTCAGATGAAAGCCAAACATCGGAGCAGGAGCAGGAGCCTGAGCGAGGGCAGGGACCAGGGCTTCTGCTTTCCCTGTGGGGAATGAGCAGAGCTCCTGATGTCACTCCCTGTGTGGGAAGGTGCTGTCTGGGAGCACTGCCTTGTTAGGGCCCCTGTGTCATTTGGCGAGTGGGACTGTGGTCTTCAGGCCCTGATGCTGAGTTCTCCAGGGGTACAGACAGAAATCCTGTTTTTGGTAACAGCTTTACTGAGATGTAACTGACATACAATTCAGCCTTTAAAGTGCAGAATTCAGTGGTTTTATTCTGCTCAGAGCTGTGCAGCCACCATCATAGTCCATTTTAGACTACTTTCACCATCCAAAAAGAAACTCTGTCCCCATCAGCTGTCACTTTCCTTTCCCCCTCAGCCCCAGGCAACCTCACACAGTTGTCTGGAGATCAGCCTCTTCCAGACACGTCAGGTAAGTGGAAAACATTCCATTTTCACAGCACCTCTGTCAGTGGCAAAGACAGCCTTAGAGATCCCCGGGAGGCCCCACGACCCGCCTCCCCAATCCTCTAGTGTCAGGATTTTTTCTAACAAGGACTTGATGGTGGAGGGAATGGCCTTTATCTGCTGTCCCTAGAGATGAACTTAGAGATCACTGCTGCTGTTTACAGATGAAACTTACAATGCATTTGACAAAGAATTTCTTAATGGCTTTCATCTTAAGCATTATTGTAAAATTAGAATGCTTTGCAAACTTATGTCCATTTTCTATCCATTTTTTAGGTAGCAGAAGGTCAGGAAATTTGTGTGATTGAAGCCATGAAAATGCAGAACAGTATGACAGCTGGGAAAACTGGCAAGGTATGTCCCAAAGTTCCCGCCAGCCTTCCCTCACTGGCCTTCCTCCTTTGAGCCATGGATGGTCTACCCTGAAAGGGACCATGGGGTGATCTCTTCCACCTCCCCCATATTAGGATGGGGAGGTTCTTCTCACTCTGAGATGTCCCTGCCTCATGGAGAATGGGTCTTCCAGAAGAATCTGTATATTATGCTCAGGTATTCAAAGAACAACTGTTCTTCACCTTAATGTCTTTCAAATTAAAGGGTCTTTAATTTTTAATGTTTACATCTGTCTTGGAGGCAGTTAGTAATCTGAGACTTCGGTGACACAGCAGGAAACGGTTTTACAGATTGCAAAAATTAATGCAACTCTTCAAGATAATTTTTCCATAAAGAAGACAATTCAACCTCAGATCAGGGGCTGAGCACCTGCACACATGCGCAACTGAGTGACTCAGGGAGGAAATAGGAGAGATCTGTTAGTTCTGGAATTTAAGGGCAAAACATCTTTAAATGTATTTTTTCTTGAAGAAAATAGAAAAGTCCTTTTAAGCAATAAATTCATTATTCTACCTGTGACTAAAAAGATGCCATCAGTGGGTAAATAATCCTTTCCTGAGGGATGTTTTGGTTGGGAAGTGTTGGCGGGTTCGAGTGTGACTGGGGGCAGGGCTGGAGACAGCAGCAGAGGTCAACTGTGTCTTGCACATGGCTGTGCCTTGTGGACATCAGGTGCAGTGAGAGATCCACTCACTTACTCCAAGTTTCTATCAGAGAGACACAGTCTCTGACTGTCTCATGATCTGTCGCCCCAGAAGGCAATGAAACTGATTCCTAGAGAAGGACCCAAAGGTGCCCTGCCTGGTCCTAGATGGATAAGCAGAGCTCAGATGCAGCCTGGTGGCCCTGAGCCAGCAGCTGTGCATGTCTGTGGGGTTAAAGAGAGAAATATAGCAAGATTTGCAGCTTTTTAGGAATTCTGTCTAAATTAAATCACTTTTTTGTATGAATATAAAAACAGTTTCTATTAATGTGAAAATGGCTTTATTTGTTCCCTGGGATTATTTAACATTTATGCTGTGCTAGGATCATGAGATTTCCATTCCCAAGGAGCATGGCTTGAGTGTGGGGGACAGAGATGGAAGTCAGATGCATGCCAAGGCCCCTGTGCTGCTGGGCCAGGGTGCTGACGGAGTGGGGGTCAGATCTGTCAGCATGCTTTATTTCCTGGCAGACTGGGTCTGTCTCACTCTCAGCAGCCTAGGGCTGCTTCTCAGTGCTGTGGAAGGCCCAATGAGTTCTGTCCTTTGGCCTGAGCCCCACGTGCCAGAGTCCTTCCTGACTATTCTGGTCCTCTCTCCCCACCCCCCAGACCTCTGGAATCCAGCCCAAGAAGGCCCAGAGGAGTGGCAGGAAGCCCCAGCACAAAGTAGCAGGCCCTGGTTTTCACTTGGGGGGTCACTTTTCCTCCTAGAGAAAAGGCTCATTAAAAATACATCACAGACAAACATCCGAGGCAGCCTCTTCAGCCCAGCAACCTCTGCCAGCCAGGCCTTGGAAGTATTCTTTGCACGGGTTCACATCCTTCTTAAAGACTCTGGGGTTGAGTTTAAGAAAAAAGGCCCTTGTAGGCTGCTCACCCTGGAGAGGCAGGGACACGGGCCAGTGCACCAACCCAGGCATTGCCGGCATCTTTCCTGTTTGCCAGTTGCCCATGCGGCCAATTAGTTCTAACCCATTGTTCATTTTCATGCCCAAGGAAGAGCCTCCAAGAAATCAAATGACTGTTTCTTCCCCATTTCAGCCACCTCCCTGCTAATTTTAAATCTGTACACAATTTGGGAAAGAAACACTTGATAAAAATAGAAATGGGGGTGGAGGGGGACACAGTTCCACATTCCCAGATGGTGCCACAAAGGGCAACCTGTCCCCCCACGCAGGTCCTGAATGTTTATTTCATTTCCCTTCACAAGGAAGGTATCAGTCTGGGGTCAGGGAGGTCCTCATCTTAATCAGTACCTGTTTGGTCTGTTGGATAATTTTGTCCTCTTTTGTCTTTTATACTGAGTGTCCCATTAGCTCCCCAAGAACATTTCTTCAACCTAAACCCACAGCAAGACAGGGAGGCTGGGTACTCAGAACTCAGCTGGCATGAACCCTTCAGAGTTTAGAATGCCACCTGGACCCGAGTGTGCCCCGTGCAGGGGCCAGTGAGCCAGCTACAGCTTAGACTCCCAGAGAACATCCTTCAGATTGGCACTTTTTAGTTTAACAAGGACAGAGAGGTGGGAGCAGGAAAGTTGGGGTCACAGCCAGCACATGGACATCCCTGTTCTGTAGGCTCCCCTCAGATGGGCTCGAGCGGGGCAGGCTGTGTCCAGAAACAGGGTCAGAGATTGCTCCCTCTTGGTTCTGGTTGATAATTCTTGCCCTCCTCCCCCATTCCCTTTTTTATTTCAAGGTAAAGTCTGTGCACTGTAAAGCTGGCGACACAGTTGGAGAAGGAGATCTGCTCGTGGAACTGGAATGAAGTATTTATAGCCTTGCCGTCATCACCCAACTTAATTAGCCATTTGTATTAGTCCCTCGCACTCGATTTATTCCAGCATTTACAGGAACACTCCTGTGCTGCAGGTCTTACGTCGTCATGTTTATTCCACATAAGAGTCAAACCAACCTTCTGCCAAATTATCACCAATGGAAATTTTTTTGATATAAATACTTGTACATATGATTTGTACTTCTGCTGTGAGATTTCCTAGTGTCAAAATTAAATCAATAAAACCAAGCATTTGTCTAAATATTAATTTGCCCTTTTTTTGAATGAAGACAATGTACACATAGGCTACAGGCTGTGCCAACAGACTGTAAATACTAGCATTTCTTTGTCATCCTTTAAAAAAAAATCATATGAATTCCAGTTCTCTGCCTTCAGTTGTAGCAAATCAGCATTTGCTAGCGTATAGTCTGATTACCTTATTCCTTCTGTAATTGAGGACCTGATTTCCCGAAGACCGGACAGCCCAGATGCTGATTTTGGCAGTGCCCTTTCCGCTGTGGTGCCACATGTGTATGACACTGATGCATGTCCCTTCCGGGCTTGCTGGCTGACATGGGACCATCCACTCTGCTGGTGAGGAGCAGGCCACTGCCCTGTCCCCACTGCCGCAGGCCCCCAGGTCGCCTCCGCGCTGTACTAGGTGCAGCAGCCACCGGCTGGTCAGCCTGCAGCTCTCTTTGCCTTTTTGTTTTTGCAAAGCAAGTTTCCAATTAAGAAAAAGAGGCTAAAAATAATGATTGTGTTCTTGTGCTGGATGCAGTTAGTGATCATAGTCTACCATTAAGTTGAAGAGTAAGGGAGGTCTCCCAATTGAGATGAGGTCACTGAGGATCAGCAGCTGCATTTTCAATTTGTTTCTTAAATTCTTGGAATACGTTTCATACTTTGCTGGTGAGCAGAAGCAGAGTCGTGTGCCGATTTGAATCTGTGCTGACAAATTATCAGATGGAGGTGGGTAGTAATTGGTACTTCGTGCCTTGCTAAAATTATTTTAAGTGCTGTTTGTATTTGGAAGCTAAGCTTCTGTCAGGCCTGAAGAACAAATTACTAGCGTGCTGCTGCTTCTCTGAAAGGCCACCTCCAAATGCTGCTCCCTTCAGGAGGCAGTGATGGGCCTGGCTGCTGAGAGCTGGGCTCAGATAAACCTCCATTTGAAGTCCAGGGTGCTCAGCTGTGTCTACCAGCAAGTGGGTGTTCACTATTTTGCTAGATTAAAATGAAAAGACGCTCCTACCAAGTGTACCAAAAATGGGGACGGGAGGGAGAACATACCACCACACACATTTATATTTTATTTCCCAAAACATCTAGTTTAATTTTAAGTGATCATCTTCAATAGTTTCTATGTAAGCTTGATGTAAAAATTAAGGTTACTCTATATATTCCAAAATGCAGCCTGTTTTTCTTGAAGACTTTTTTTATTATGTTGATATTGAACCATCTAAAATCAGCTCTTATTTTAAAAAATTTTCTAGATGTTATACGCCAGAATCAATGCAATGGGACTGCTAAAATCTAGTTGCCAACACACATTACATTCATTTTAAATGTTATCTTCAGATTAAAGCAAAGCAAAAAAAAAAAGGGAGGGGGGAGGCGGGGAAGAAGAAAGAAAGGCAGGATAATCTGAGTTCTCTAAGTCCCATTCAGGAGAATTAAAATCCTGAATTTTTCTTACCTAACACATTTAAGCCCATGATGCTCTTTAAGCAGCAAGCAATAAAGTAGTACTGGAAAGAAAGATTTGAGGGCACAATCTTGTTACTAGTATGTCAAAATTATTTGTAAAATCAGCTGCCATTGAAAAAGATTGCTTTTCCTACAGATCAAGTTTTTGACAAAGACATTGTAGAAAGGGCACCGCCCAGCTCCCACTGAGCCGGCCTCACACCAGGGTCACTGCGCCCCGGCCACAGCCGTCCCTACCTCATCTGTCCTCTCGGCGGGTGTAGCGCAGCCCGTGCTCCCCCTCAGAGTCGTAGCTGTCGTGGTGCGGAAGGTGGACCCACTCGGGTGGGTGGCCGGCCGTGCTGTACACAAAGCATTGCACCGTGGTGTGGGGCGCCAGCGTGTCCTTGGGGCCGTCCTCGCCTGTGCCCTCGAGCACCTGCACCGCCACCAGGGTGCGCTGGTACATGTTGGGGCAGCCTTCGAAGTCATCCAGGAAGCGCAGCATGGCGTCGTCCACCGCGTAGATCTCGCCCTCCACGCAGCGCCCAGCGCCGGGCAGGTTCAGCATCCGCGGGATGTTGTGCTCCCCTGCGATGACCAGCGGGTAGGGCTGCAGTGTACGGGCACGGGCGCGGAAGGCAGCGGAGCCATGGGCGCCGTCCAGCAGGACTGGGTGGTTGGGCTGGCCGCGCTTCAGGGTACCGTACAGGAAGATCAGGGTCATGGAGCTGCTGCCGGGGAGAGATGTGGCAGGTCAGGGCCAGCTGTCCCTGCCCAGCAGCCAATGACCAGTGTGGCCCAGGTGCCATGGGTCTCTGGTCATGGACACTGAGCCAGACGCTAGAATGTTGTACCATTTTCTCATCAATCAGGAAATGTGGCTTTTTTTTACTCATTTAAAAATATAAAAGCCATTCTTAGCTTGTGGGCCACTTAAAACCAGGCACCAGGCCAGATCTGACCTGGGGGTTGCAGTTTGCTTGCAGTCGTGACTTGGTTGATATGTCTGTAGCAGACAGGGCAAGTCTACTGCAGCGGGAAAATGGGGTTCCCCAGTATCCCCTGCACTACCTGGCTAGACTCAAGCAGAACTCTCACAGGGACTCCACACGCAGCCCATGCTGTGTGACAGCCCCTCAGTGTCAGCATGGGAGGCGCAGCAGATCCTGAGCACCCTCCCCACTCTGCAAAGGATGGCCTTCCTCTCTTGACTACTGACCAGGACCATCCTCTCAGAAATGGGAGCCTGGCCTCCTGACTGCCTTGGCCTCCCTCACACCCTCTGGGTCACCAGCCTTGGCTCTGGAACCCCCACCCAGTGGTAGCAGCTCAAGGCCAGAGGACACGCTGGCTACACCCCAGCCATAACCTCCCAGACCCACCCTGTCTGGACAAGTTGCTGCTCGTCTCTTCCACCCCCAGCACAGCCCAGAACCCACTGCTGTTGGTCATTGTGTGCACCAGGCAATGCCAGCCACCAGTTACAGCTGCTGATCTGGGAAAAGGCACATCTGAGAACAGCTGTCAGATGGAGATACCCTGTCCTGGGATCGAGGCCTGAAGAACTGTCACTTTCTTTCTTGCCTTTTTTTTTTTAAATAATAGGGTCTTGCTCTATTGCCTGGGCTAGAGTACAGTGATGTAATCACAGCTCACTGCAGCCTCCAACTCCTGGACTCAAGCAATCCTCCCATTTGGGCCTCTCAAAGTGTTAGGATTACCAGCCTGAGCCGCTGCACCTGGCCTGCCATATTCTTGGTCAGTTTTCAGTCTCAGTAAAAGGACTTTGAAAATTGTGCAATATATTTTATAGAAAAATCAGAAACAATCACCGTATATATGTGTGTATATAGTTATATATGTGTGTGTGTATACATATATGTATTTATAACCATTGTAATCCAGCTACAAGAGAGAATTCAGGTTTCAGTACTAAATTTACATTCCAGTCCTGGAAGTGTGACCCAGCAAAACTTTTAACAATCACACCTCTCAGCGTCTCCTTTTTCAAGGTCTTAGAGGGTAATGATGCTTCACGGTGACTCACTGTGACTCACTGAAGCGACCTTGGCTCCAATGTGAAAGTAAATGTTTACCACTTGCCTAAGTCTGGGCCACAAACTGTTACAGAATGACAGAAGTGGTTTGTGTAAAATGATTCAAACCCACATGGGAATGAAGGCTGAGAGGGCAGGGCTGCCCTTCCCTGTCCCTGGCTGCCCGTGGCGTAAGGACAGCCTGTGGCAGCTTCTGAGGGCCGCAACTGCAGGTGCGGGGAAACAAGATGCGTCCATCAACCAGCCAGTTACGTCTGGCGGTGACACCCTGTGCACGTGGACAAGTGGCCCTTACAGAAATCACACTGAGCTCACACAGACACAAGTGGCTCTGGGGTCTCAGCCTCTCCTCTCTGGGCCTCTGCGACTGTGATCGCCTTGCTGCTCACCCTTCCTCCTCTCTGCTGCCTCTCAGCTGGGCCCCAGCCTATGCCACCCTGTTCCCCAGATTTCAGGCACATCACACTGGAAAAGGCATGGCGCTGGAGAACACTAGGCTGGCCAGGGTGGGGCCTCTGACAACAGTGCAGGGCCACAGATTAGACTTGGGGGACTTGATGGGAGTGGGGCACACCTGCAATATAAAAGTCAGGACATGGATAAGGAGGAACCTGGAATGGGGTGGTGCAAAGGGAGGAGGAAGGGCAAGTACTCCAGCTAAAGTCGCCGGAACTCAGCTGCCAGCGGAAGCCAGAGTGAAAATGACATGGGAACAGAAACGGTGGACAATGAGAGTCTGGAGGGTCTGGAGAGAGTGACAGGGACAAGGGCCCAGGGCTGTCTCCTGCAGTGGGCAGAGTGGACAAAGGACAGGGGTGGATCCGGGTGGCCTTCTTTTGGTAGGAGTCACCCACTGTCCCCACTCCTATACCCCAGTCTGGTAGACTGCTGGGGCTGGCTACTTTGTTCCCCTCCAGCCTGTCCCCAGTGCAGACCCCAAGCCTGCCTCCTGCCACAGACTCGCCCTTCCCACCATGCTCCCTGCACTGTGCAGCCAGCTGGTGCTGACGTGAGACCACCCAGCCGGACCCAAGCTCAGGCAGACAGGACACCAGCCCTCCTCAGCCCCCAGCTGCCTGGCTCAAGTCCTCTGACTCAATTTTAAAAATAACACATATCTGTAACTAGTCAAATAGCTTTACGAGAAAGTTTACATTTCCTACCCCCTTCTACTCGCCAGAGGCAATACTTTTAAGACCTTTTAACTCCTGCATTTGGTATTATCTCTACGTTACTTATACCACTGCTTTTTGATATTTTAAATTATGTCATGCCTCTCTACCCCCAAAACAGGTGGGCCTGGTGCTTTAAAGCACAGACTTCAGAACCAAAATGCCTGGGTTAAAACCCAGGATCTACCACTTACAACCGAGCAACTTTAGGTAAATCAATGAATCTCCCTGTGCCTCGGCTTCCTGAACTGTATGATGATGTTGTAGCAGCCACGTGCCTCCGGAGGCTGCTGAGGGTTAACACCTGTGGGAGCCTCGTGTGCTCAGGAAGCTGCCTTCACCATCACTGCAGAAGCCCCACGCTGGGCCCCCTGCCGCCCCACAGTGGACACTGCTGTTAGCTAAGGCAGTAGTGCATTATGATTGAGTTTCCTTTCTTGGACAACTTTGTGTTTGTATTGAAATTAAAAATTGCTTCAGACTTGGTTTTGTTCAGGTTCCAGGACAGTGGCTCAGCCTTGCATTTTCTGAAAGCAGTGTCAAGATCGGCCCGTTACCCACCCAGGGCCTGGGTGCTCCGGTCTGGCCCTTGATGTCGCTGCCATCCTGGCCTTCCCTCAGCCTCTCCCTGCCGTGCAGCTGCTCTCCTTGCTGGGTTGACTGCCTCCTTTTGCTAAGGTTCGTTTTTTCCCACCCTTGATTAATAATGTGGCTGAGTAGAAGATTCTAGAAATCATTTCCTTTAGAACTTTAAGGGCATTTCCTCAACATTAACTTCTCTTTGCTGAGAAGTCCGGTGAGTTGCGATCCACCCTCTGTAGCTCTTCTCTGGAGGCTCTACAGGTCTTCCCTTCATCCCTTGGATTTTGAAATTTTACGATGTGACTTATGGATCTGTGCTGGGAATTTTTTTCTTAACTTTAAGTTATTATGTGGGTACAAATGACCAGGTCACCACTTTGAACTTGTTAGGTAGAGTCCGTCTTGTAGTTGTCCAGCACCCAAAAGGTGTACCATACAGCCATACACCCCCACCTTGTGCCCTTACAGGGGAATTTCAGTGTAAGTACCCCTCACCTTGGATTCCAGGGAAGTTCTTCCCTTGCCTTTCTCTTTGTTTTCTTTCTGGATCTCCTAATATTCAGGTGATAAATATCTTACTTCAATCCTCCAATGTTCTTATCTTTTCTTCTTTTTTCCAGGCTTTTTTTTTTTTTTTACACATTCTACTGTATCTTCCAATTATTGTATAATTAAAAAAAAATTTTGTGGCCAGGAACACTGGGGGAGGCTTGAGGCCAGGAGTTGAAGACCAGCCTGGACGATATAGTGAGACTGTATCTCTACAAAAATATTAAAAAATTAGTCGGGTATGGTGGTACACACACCTGTAGTCCCTGCTACTCAAGAAGCTGAGGCAGGAGGATCCTTTGAGCCCAGGAGTTTGAAGCTGCAGTAAGCTATGATTGTACCACTATACTCTGGCTTTGGCAAAGAGTAAGACTGTAAAAATAAAAATTGCTGTTGTATTTCTTTTTGTTCTTTATTTTTCTTAGTCTATATTCCTTCATAGACACAAGACTTTTTTTTTAAGTTTTCTTCTTTCCCGTCCTTGCTTCTATTTCTCCTAAATTCCTCTTTTCTCTTTGTTTTGCTATCTGTGTTTCATTAAGAGGTTTTCTGCAAGTGTCAGCAACCCCTGGTTAGCTTTTCATGTGGAAAACTGAGACACTCTTTAGAATTGAGACTGCAGCTCTGCATGGGGCAGAGAGAGCCCAAGAGAGCCCAACTGTTGGAGGGCTTGTGTGGGGCCTTGAGGACATTCTGGGGGTCCCAATAATCTATATGTCTGTGGACTTTCCTTTAACTCTCATTATCAGGCTGCCACTGTAAGCTGGACCTACTGTTCCCAATACCCAGGTATTCTTGCCACGCTCTCTAGAAAGGCACCCACTGTCCTCTGCTGGATTGGAGGGGAGATTGTAAGGTCTCTCTGCTGCTTCCTGGCCCTGCCCTTGCCTTACACACCTGTGGCCCACAGTTCTGGAGCTTCTCTAGTGTGGTGGGCACCAGTCACTTGACTCCTTACTTGGCTCCTCACCATGTAGGAAGTCAGGTCCTGGTGGCCTCAGACTATTAAGTCAGCTTTATCTAGGATTCCTAGTACTCTGCTGAATACATAGAAATGGGGAAAGCAAGCATCTTTATTTTGTTCCTCATCTCAGAAGAAAGGTTTTATATTGTCAACATCAAGTGTGACATTAGCTGTGGGCTCTTCATATATGGTTTTCATTATGTTGAGGTAATTTCCTTCTATTCCTAGTTTTGGTTTTTTTAACCATGAAATACTGTTGAATCTTGACAAATGTTTTGTTCTGTATTTTTTTTTTTCTTTTTTTGAGACAGAGTCTCACTATGTTGCCCTGGATAGAGTGCTGTGGCATCACAGTTCACAGCAACATCCAACTCTTGGGCTCAAGTGATCCTCTTACCTCGTTTTTTTTTTTTTTCCTCTCTTTTTAGTTGAAATGAGGTCTTGCTTTTGCTCAGGCTGGTCTCAAACTCGTGAGCTCAAGCAATTCACCCTCTTTGGCCTCCCAGAGTGCTAGGATTACAGGTGTGAGCTACCATGCCTGGCCTTGTTCTGTATCAGTTAAGATGATCCTGTGGTGTTTTTCCTTCATTCTGTTAGTGAAATTTATTACATTGATTGATTGTCCTTTTGTTGAACCATCCTTGCATTCAAGGAATAAATCTCATTTGATCAGGGCATATAATCCTTTAAATGTGTTGAATTTTCTTTGCTAGTATTTTGTTTAAGGATTTTTCATCAGTCTTCAAAGATATAAGTCTATATTTTTGTTTTTTGCAGTGTCTTTCTTTGGCTTTGGTATCAGAGAACTATTGACTTCATAGAATAAATTTGGAAGTGTTCCTTCTTCTTTCAGTTTCTTCTGAAATTCTCAGAAGAGTTTCAGGATTGGTATTCTTTAAAAGTTTGGTAGAATTCACCAGTAAAGCCATCTAGTCCTGGGGTTTTTTGTTTTTGAAATTTTTGAATATTCTTCAGTCTCCTTATTATAGGTCTTTTCAGATTTTCTATTTTGTCATGATTCGTGAGTCAGTCTTGGCAGGTTTTGTATTTTTAGTACTTTGTCTATTTTATCTAAGTTAGCTAATTTGTTGGCAGATTGTTCACAGTACTGCTACTTTTGGAGAATCATAGTTACTGTGTCTTCATCTCTGCCCCCCATGCTAGTATTTTATTTCTTACAATCTTTTAATCTTTTTAATTTCTGTAGAATGGGTTTTAATGTCCCCTCTTTCACTTCTGGTTTTAGTTATTTAGGTCTCTCTTTTTATTTAAAGGTGTGTCACTTTTGTTGATCTTTTCAAACAACCAACTTTTGGTTTCACTGATTTTCTCTATTGTTTTTCTGCTCTCTGTTTTATCTCTTCTCTAATCTTTATTATTTCTTTCCTTCTGCTAGTTTTGGGTTCAGTTCTGCTTTTTCAAATTCCTTATTTCTCTATACTCTAGTTCTTCATCTGTCATGTTCAGCCCATCTCCAAGGCTGCTGTTAAGGATCACAGCCAACAGAACACATGAAAAGTCTGTTACACTGACCAAGATGACTCAGAACCACAGCCAAGAGTAACTCAGAACGTGCCTCTGATTTGTTCTAGCCAGGAGAGTATTTGGCCCCTCGGCCAGATTGGCGGGGTGGCACTGCCACTACAGAAGGGGATGCCACCTTCTGAGTCATATATTTCTATTTTTAGCCCCGCCTCATGCTAGTTTTTCCATAACACTGTGTTAGGGTCAGATTCTTGGATAAAACACAAGAGCATAGTTGAATAAATAATAGATAGAAATAGCTGTAGGTGAGCCATTTGGGCTTTTCCAGAGCAAAACGAAGACTGCTCTGTCTCTGCTTTAATGTGAAGCAGATGCACCCAGGCATGTCTGAAACACGACCCTGAACCCCAGGCCTGTGAGGTAAGACACAACATGCACGCAGCCCTCAAAGGGAACTAGTAATCCAGGGTGGACTTAGAGTTGTGTAGATGAACATTTAGGGACACATCATGGCAAATATAAAACATGCACTGGGGCATGATAACAGGTCTGCACTGAATTCCCACCTCCACCACTTAGCACCTGTAGGTCTTTGAGAAAGTTATTGCAAGTCTCTGAGCTTTTATTTCCTCCTGTTTAAAACTGGGTTTATCATAAGTCCTCCCAAGAGCCAATCTCCACTGCTTGCCGACTGTGTGCCAGGCATACATCCCCAGTGAATGTGATTTCCCCCTTTCCTTCTTTACCCTGTTCCCTCCTTTATTAGGATCTTCTAGCAATATCTGCTAGCTATCTCCTTCCCAACAAAGCCCCTTAATAATAAAAATGAATACACTACAAGTGGTAGAGGGAGCCAAGCCATATGAAGTAATGCTGTGGGCTTAATAATTTCTCAAAACCAGAAGAATATTTGGACAAGTGGTAGTAGATAGAAATGGTGGTAAGAAGGCCATAGATTGTTAATTCTAACTCTATGGAATATCACCTCAATAACTTTCTAACTTTTTTCTTTAAATTAATCCCGTGACAGATAAAGCTTAGTAACTTTCGTCTGCAAGAGGTAATAGAATATTCCATGAAAGAAAACAAAGCAATAAAGTTAACCTTCTCCTCTAGGAAATAATTTAGGAGACAACTTACTTTCTACATTTTATCTACTAAATTCAGTAAATGTATCCTTTATAATACAAAATCAATTTGGGTGTACTATTTGGGCAATAAAAAGGAAAATTACTATTCCTTGTTTCTGTCATCTTTTATAAAACAAACATCATTACCTTTCTGATTGTGTTTTGAGCAACACACAGATCCTGCAGGAAGAAGCTTGTCCCTGTAGGGATTGAGAAAGGATCAGAGTTAAGCACAGAAACAAGCAATTAATTCCCATTAGAGGATTAAGGCACTTACGTTCTCTTTGAATCAGAAAAGCAAATTGGGAATAAAATAGTGTGCAAGCAAGAGGTTACTGTCCAAGTTAATAAATTAGAGAACTGAAGGGCAGCACAGGCAGCCACAAAGCCTGCTGGCAAGGAAACAGGGAGGGTTCTGTATCCATGGGACAAGATGGCCCTTCTCTTAACGATGCTGTGGAAATCAGGGGGGAGTAGGGTCTGTGCCACGTGATGCCAGCCTTACTGTAACAGATGGAGCCCCAGAAAATGAGCCTAAAAGCATTTTCCAGCCTATTACATCACCATCCCTTGTGCATGGATTTCCTTATAGCCTCTCACCATTAACACACAGAATCTTTCAGTTTGGACAGTTTTGCTTTGGGGTTTCAGAGTGGATTCTAAGGGAACTTGAACCATATCTCTCTGGACGTTGGCCATGCACTGAGGAGGGAGAGGGCTGCCACTGTGCTCACAGCCCACGCTGAATCTCTATCCCAAACCCACTGGTCAGGGATGAGGTGGACATCCTAGCATCAGCACAGAGGTAGAACTGGCTCACAGTGAGTCTCCAAAAGGTTTAGTTGAGCAAAATTCAGTTGGTTTAACAATGTCAATATTTAAGAAAACAAAAACACTCAATGGAGATGCCCATCTGGCCTGGCACTGCTTGAAATGCCTCTGTCACTTAACTCAGCAGTTTTCTTTCTTGAAACACAGTCTAGCTATAGTTTCATATTTCATCACAGAAGCAGAAATTGAAAATGATATTATGAATCCTTCGGATAATTGTTGGATTTTTCTTGCTTAATTTTTTTCTTAGCCACCTGGTGGCAAAAATGTAAAAGGCAGGATTTAAGCCTTTTATTAAAATAGTTTACAAATTACAACTATCACCTATGCCTGGCCCATATTTAGAAACAGACCTACACATACCAGATGAACCCACCAAGGAAAGGGCTAATATTTAACTCTCCTAAAACTAATCTACAAAAGGACTTCGAATTGATACGGGCTTCTAACATAAAAACCACCAGTAATAAAAGATGACTCAATAAAATATTCATTCTGTATTAAAAATTAATGAAGAGAAAATGTTAGTATAATCTATATGTCATCACTTCAAAGTGTCTGTTTTCTCCATGTGATAAATCATCAGGCCACCAACAATGTGCATTGCCAGTTCTCAAGACTGGATTAGAAAAAACAAAAGGAAAATGACCAGATTTGGGTGGCCTGAAGTCTGCGTCCCTGCTAGAGCAGGCTCTGCCACTCACCACTGCCGAGGGCAGGGTAGGGGGGATCCTTTCAGAACCAGAAACGCCTGGTCCGGAGATCTAACTGGCAGGGAGCATCACTCTGGTTTTGTGTGTGCTGCGTGAACTGGCTTTTGTCATTTCACACTGTGTCATCACTGGGTCTGGCAGAACCGTGGCCTACCAGACGGGGTGGGGGGGTAGGGGGTGGGCACCAGGCCACTGTGTGCTGGTTTCAACGCTGCCAATGGCTACCTCACGTGACCACCAGTAGCCACACTGGGCACTGGCCTTGAGTAAAACCCTATGTCCCCGAGTGTGGTGGAAATATGGTAAGAAGCACACGTGATACTGGGCACGTTTACCCAGAAATTTCTCTCATTTAATAGAAACCTTCTTGCACCTCAGACTAGTGGCCACTTCCCTTCCCTCCCCTGCTGTAACATTATTTTCCCTGGAGAACACGCTGAGTGTCTGATATAGTTACACATTAATTCTTCAGAAGTTTCTTAGAACTGTAGGAAACAGGTGAAAAAACAAAATGCCTTGAACTTTCAACTTAAGCCTGGCCTGGGAGCATGAAATGAGCTCTAGGGTCACTCTTCCCCGCGTGGCTCAGGGGCAACGTGCCAGCGAGGGCTCCGGGCCGCATCCTGTTGGTGCTTTGATGCCTTCATTTTGTTGCTTGCTAGTTTCTTTACAGCAAAGACAAGGGCTTCCTGCTTAAGTGGATCCCTCGCCAACCCCGCTGAATGCCCCGGAAAAGTTCGTGGCAAAACACCTTTCTTACATTAGCTGCGCAGGCCCGGGTGAAGTGCTGTCCCTTTGAAATCAGAGGCTGGGACTCCTCTCCACAGTTGTTTGCTCAAAACTAAACTTTCAAAGGTCCGTAAAAACAAATGGGGGCTCTATGGTCCCTGATGCCATCTCATGCCCTCTGAATGCTGCCATGGCAACCATTGTTGCCCATGCCAACAGTGACTAGTGATGGTTTCCATGCTACATCACTCTAAAGGCAATTTGTGTTGTCACCTTTAAAACACACATTGACCAACAACATGGACATGACCTTCGGCTGCATCCCGGTGCCCACTTTGAGAGTAAGGACAGGAAGAGCTGGAAAATCCCAAGATGCCATGCTGGGATGAGCTCTGTGCAATCCGGCAGGATGAAGAACCGGCCGGGCCACCTGGTGTGTGGCCAGAGCCTGCCAGGGCCTTGGCCCCACATTCCAGGGCGGCCGGGCGTGGAGGTGCTGCCAGCCCCGCTGCCTCCCTGCAGGACAGCTCAGGAGGCACAGCAGAGGCCTGGCAGCGGGAGCCAGAGCCACAAACACGTGCTAGGGCAGGTGGCCAGCAGGCCTGACACCAGAGAGAAGGTGCCAGTCAGCCCGCACTTGGAGCCCCCTGCCTTGCAGGACCCTAGTGCCACCTGCCAGTCCCACCTGGGGCTCTAAAGTGACCCAGAACAACACTGCTGCCCCAGCCTCCTACTGCACATGTCACTAACAGTCTTAAGTTGGTACTCAAAACAACAAATGAGATCGTCTTGCCCCCAGCTGTACCCCCATTTACAAATGGGGAGGCTGCAGCACAGATGATGTGACTACACAAGGTGAGGTGGCTTAGCCTTCACACCCACTCTTGACCTCCACATCCGGGGGGCGCCCCCCACTGGCTCCAGCCACTCCAGAGCCCCAGGCAGCTAGTGGCCTGGGCCAACTGCACAATCAGGCTCCTGTCACATCCTCCCATGACCAGGCCTCAGGGACACTGATGCATACCCTGTGTTGCCTGCTGGGCTTGCACGGCTGAAACTCTCCATTTCACTGTCCTGAAATTCTCACTTTTATCACTGAACTTGTGTTTTGTAAGTGAAGTCTGCTGGGACAGGCAGCACTCACGTGAGCAGAGCAAACACACAAGCACAGACTCCCGGGGACCCAGTGCAAGGCCTGAGTGTGCCAGGGAGGGAAGCAGGGTGCCCCAAGGACATGAGATGGAAGGACCTTATCATGTCCTTTCCAACTGGTCTTGGGAAGCCACATACCCAGACAACCACAACCCAGAAGGCCAGGGCACCCCTGGATGGCCTGGAGTTCCTGTCCCTCTTGCCCTTCCTCCATCCCCAGTACTGATGGTGGACAATGATGGGAGAGAATTAGTGCACGACAAGAGGTGAAATGAAGACAGCTGAGTCAGTTTTCTGGCAAGAATAAAATACACAAGCACTCTCCAGTTAGGAAAGATTAATTGTGTTATCTGTAATTCCACATGTGAGTCAAATGCTCTAATATATGCCTTTAAACTGAAGCCAACATTGTCTGCTGTAAGAATGATAAACTGTGCAGAGATACTAGCTTCCTATTTTAGTCCCTTTCACTGCACCCCTCCCCTAGCTTTTCATTCTTATTGTGTACCCCCATCCAACCCCTGTACCCCGCAGGGAATCACTGGCCTTGAGCTTCCCTAAATCATATCTTCATCTCCCACTGTGTCATCTAGTACAGTTCAGTGCATGCAGTAGGCACTTTATAAATACTTGCTGCAAGAAACCAAGTGGTCATCCCCACTCAGTCCAGAATCCCAAAGAGGCAACAGGGGCCTCCTGTCTGTTTGGAACCTCTCACGGTCTCTGGGTCAATAGTCACACACAGTTTCAAACACAACCGCAGGTGCAAATTCTACAGGTGCCATGTCGGGACGCAGGCCCTGCTGCCCCCCTCCTCTTCTCCACATGGCCAGTGCTATGGACCCTTAGACCTGGCCCAGCTGGGCAAGTGCTATGGACCCTTAGACCTGGCCCAGCTGGGCAAGTGTTAGCGCGTCCCTCACAGACACCGTGACAATGCCCAAGAACCCACAGAACTCACTGTGGGCAGCACCCAGAGCTTGGGAGGGGAGGGGTGAGGAGGGGTTCTTGGCGCAGGGGCTCCATGCAAGGGTACATTTGTTAGAATCATGGACCTGTGCACCTAATCTGTGCACTGGTGTAAGCTATATCTCGAAGAAAGTTGACTTAAAAAACACTATAGGAGCTCGTTCAGGGAAGGTGGCGTGCGGGCCACTCGGCCTGTGACTACCATCACCTGAGACTATTCTGATCCAAGTTCACAAGCTTAACACCCCAAATCAAAAGCAGAAGCTCCTCACCTTTTCTTTAGGGTTCCAGAAGCATCTCAGCCTGATTAGAGTATTTCTAAAAACAAATTCGTTTTCTGGAACCCAACACCCAATAATACAAAACAAGAATGACAGACATCTCTGCCCTCAAGCCTGGGCTTGAGAAAAAGGCAGCAGAGTAAAGGTCACGCAGCCCAAGGTGGGGTGAGGGGCCATGTCACCCCCGCAGGCAGACACTGGACGGACCCAGGGCCCCTGCTCCCCACCCAGGACCCCGTCTGCACTGGCTACTGACTAAGCAGTGGTTTCCTGTGGTTGGGTAGGGGGAAACACAGCAAATGATCTGCCTTTAAGAATATTTTTCTAGGCCTGCTAGAAAAGAGTGCATGGCTTTCAGCTCCAATGCTGGCAGGTGCTTGGAAGGCTTGTTCTGTCTGGAGGAGCAACACCCCTCCCTGGACCTGGAGCAAGAGCCAGGAATCTGTGCCTGTTAAATAGGACACCCGGGTCTGGCCGAAGGAGGATCTTCTACTCCACCTTCTGTGTTCCCGAAGTCGTTATTG